GACCCCCCCCCTACCCCCGTGAATGTTATCCTAAAACGACTCACATGAACAGTGGAAGTACCATAAAGCCAGCAACATTTGAACCACTAAACGCAGCGATCTGTTGGACTATATCAACCGATAAGTTAATAATTTACTTTTTCTTTTTTCTGAGCGAATTTGACTTCCCTTTCGCCTTCTGATGGGATTACCAACTTGACGGTTCTCCCCTCCCCTCTCCCGTCCCACCGCCTCCTCCCCCAAACAGAATTCGAGGCAAGATTTTGGCTATTTCGGGGTACCCTTGGTGTCATTTTTAAACATCATCACCAGATGCCACAAACGATTCCACTTTTAGACCTTGTCGAACAGGAGAAATGGCACTGATTATGGGAAAAATGTACCTAACAGTTGGACCTCGTCAATATGACAATTGTGGGGACTGTAATTGGTCTAAGTTTAATTTCAAATGACAGAATATTTCTTATATAAAAAAAATGACAAAATTTTTTTTCCTTTATATTCCATCGCACCTTCTCTCTACTTTTGTTTTTACAGTCAACCTGGATGCTACAATCAGCTTAGTATAAAAAAAATCTCTACTTTTAGAGACCCTTATTCTATTAACATCTGAAAAAACCACTCTTTCCGTGATGGTTTTTAAAGAGTTAGAGTAAGCAGGTCACCAGTGAGCCAAAGCGCATCATATTCAATCAAATACAATACATCCAACATTTCCCTGTGGAGAAACGAAGGCAAAAAAGTGGGAAAAATAAAAAAACAAATGCCATAATCTTCAGTAGGGGGCTAAGCAACAGCGTACTGGCTCGCCAAATTTTTTTTCCGGCGAGTTCATAACTCGGGAATATGAGATGCTAGAAAGCTGAAATCTTCGGGAGATGCTCCCCGTGCTAGTGGTCATTAATGAGCTCAAACCCAGGCTCCGGGTAAGCGTATATTACACACGATCTATGGAGTTTTTTCCAATCTGAGCACAAAATCTATGGAATTTTTTCCAGTCTGAGCACAAAATCTATGGAATTTTTTGCAATTTCTGTATCAGCAAGCCACTGTTGCTGCCAATCCAGGAAATCAATCGGGAATTCACAAACCTTTATGTGATTTTCTTCTTTTAAACGCACAGCTTTGCATGCTGAAACACTGGCATATAGGATTCGCCATGCTTCGTCAACTTGCGAGTAGTGACCCGTATTCAGCTTTTCCCAGGCCAATGCAAGAAGAAACTCCTCCAGTTCCTTGCTTCGTGTAAAATTACACGCCAGAGTTGCTACAGCGCATTCTCTGAATGTCCGTACAAGTGATCGACCAATGATCCTCTCATCCAGTAAGTGCTGTAGATGTAGCAATCGAAGTATTCTGTCCTCCTGGAAGATGTCCCTTATATAGGCATTATTGTTAATCAATCGTTTTCTCCAGACTTTATCATGCATTTCCTCATAATTACATAATAATTAGATCGTCCGTATCAGGGGTTAGCTCCCCTTCTTTCTCTCCTTTTTCAGTCTATTTGCTCTTTCACTGATTTCTCTTTCCTTCGCATATCCGTCTTGCAAATTAGTTACATGACTGTTCAGAACATGGCGGGTAGAAGGCTGTACTGACGACTCCCGATCCTATGCGCATGCATAGTTCGGTCAATGTTTACAGCTAAGGGATGAAACACAGACTGCATCGTAAAATGTCTTCATACACATGACACTTAAGTCCAACCCCTCTATTCTATTATTTTATCATATTTCCACTCTGGGCTACCAATCTTCCTCGTATTTCGCTGTACATTTTTAAATTATACTCAACAAAGAACACCTCCCGCAATCTTGTAACACTCCATTCACCCTAAGAATCACTAAAAGATTAGTTTTTCAAAAATGGATTTGAATCAGATTGCTTGATTTTTAAAAGGTCCCACCTCC